AGGGAGGCAGGAGGCCCCAGAGAAATGCCAAGGACGCTAGGCGCCTGAGCCACTTAGCTAACCCTGAAGCAGGATTCCTGAGGCCTGAGCAAGAGGTCCCATCTGAAAGCTAGGAAAAACCTGATCTAAAAGGATGGCTTCCCTCCTCCCTGTCTCCACCCCAGAGTTGCTTCCTGGGGGGAGAGGTTGGGGAAGAACAATTCAGCAAGACCGAGGGGTTAGACAGATAGCTTACCATGGACTAACTGTCAATCACAGAACACCCAGTGGGGTGGGTTCCTGGGAAGCCCTGAGGTGCACCTACCCACCAGGTGACAGTAAGCAGGGAGGCTGAAGAAGCAAACAGTCCAGCAAACCAGAAGCAGGTTAGACGGCAGGTTACCAAGCAGTACTGTCACCCAAAAGCCTGTGAAGGGCAACCTCAAAACACACAGGGAACCCTTCTGCCACCCTTATTTTTAATAGTACTGATATCAGTGCCTCTCTCTCTCTCTCCTGGTATTGAGGGACAATGTCACTAAGGGGGACAGGATGGAGCATGGCCTGGTGGTTAGAAGTCTTCTGCCACCTTTACTTTGGCCACTCTCCAGATCACATTTCTTGAGGCTATGCAGCTGTTTTTTTTGTTAAATTAAGATTTCCTATGTGGACATTTTAAAGGGGTTTAAGGCCACAGTCCCTCTGCCAGATTTAGCTTTTAGGGAGGGCTCCATGGGCAGCTAGGTTAAAACACAAAGTGAGCTTCAGACAGCTGGTCTGGAAGCCGGTGAGTGTTCTGAGTGGACAGAGTGCCCTGAGAATGGGGACAGTAACCTCACAAAGGGGTGCCACCCCATCCCTACACAACAAGAGCGCTCACAGCTGCCCAGCTGCTCCGTAGCTGTGTCTGTACTTTGAATACATGTGACTGGCACAGTGATTCACCAGTAAGAGGAATTGTGAATGCTGACCATGGACGTAGCGTGCACAGGCAGAACTCTCTGCTCGCACACTACAAGGGAAGAAGGGGCTGCAGTGTCATGATGGGCAAGGAGTCTCCAGAGAGCTATCCGGGTACAGGGACCACATGTCACAGCCCATTACAGTCAGCAGGCAAGAAGCCTGGGAGAAGTGGTTCTCAGCATGGTGGCATGGTCTTCCCAACTCTGACGTCACTGCAGGCTTTAAAACATTGTACACCCAAGGGTAGGACACCCAGGGCTGATCTGAGCTCTCCCCACCACATCTTTCACGGCACTTTTAACAGATGATGGTCCTGCTGGACACTCTTTTTTGTCAACTGTAGTTAGGCTGGCATTTGCTCCAGCCCCACTGTCTGACAACTAAATGCCTTCTAATTTATCTCTAAAATGAATGGAGCTCTGAACAGCAAAAACTAATCTGTAAACAGCAATATATTATCTATCTATGAGATTGAAGGATGCCAGAATCCCCAATGTCTGGTCATGGGCAGGCTAACAGAGAGCATGGCAGCCATGTTTGAGAAAGACATACACTGCATTAGCCTACAAAGGCAAAGAAGGGCTGTCCACTGGATGAAGATACCTACTTCCCCTAAGGTTATAATGAAATGCAAAAGCTCAGCAGGGAAGAAAGGTTAAAGAGGGAACAAGCTGGTAGACCAGTGCCCCAGCTCTGATGGGGGATGTCCTTCTGTATGCTATGAATATATGTTTCTCTTATTGGATGTCGAATAAAGCTGTTTTGGCCAACAGACAGGCAGGATGTAGCTGGGCAGGAAGGATAGGCAGGGCAACCAGAGTAGGAGAATTCTGGGAAGAGGAACAGAGAGAGTGAGTCACCAGAGAGACGCCATGTTGCTCCCAAGAAAGCAAGAGAGGCTCGGGTATCACTGGTAAGCCAAGACCATGTGGAGATACACAGATTAATAGAAATTAGGGTAATAATTAAGAGAGAGCTAGCTAGTAAGAAGCCTGAGCCATTGGCCAAGCAGTTTATAATTAATATAAGCCTCTGTGTGTTCATTTGGGGCTTTGGCTAATCATGTCCCTTGAGTTTATACAAGAATGTCCTGGTGTTCTTGCCTCAAGTAATTGGCACATCTTCTCCAAACAGAAATCAATAACTAAATTGCTCTGTCCATTAGTCATGCCACTAGAAGTGGGCTAGACTGGAAGAACAGGGTGCTTGTTGCCTGAGGACATGTTTGGGACCCACTGAGGATACAGATCAGTAGACTTGTGCTTCAAGAAAATGATCGAAGACTCCACAGCAGCATGTTTGTCCATCGAACCTATCAGCATGCAGAGGCAGCTCCCAGCCCTAGGGGATGCCAGGCCCCCACAGCAGGCATCACAGAGAACCAGTTCTCTGCCACCAGGACTTAGTGAAGAAAAGACGCATGCTATTGGATCCTTAATGAACTGGGAAGAAATAAACGGCATGTGCATTCCATCAGTCCAGATAATTGCCCTCCGTTTCTGGAAAGTGAACAGGATCAATCTACAGTAAACTAGAAAAGACAGGAAAATGCTGAAAGCAAAAGTTGAGAGAGGACAAGGGGAATGGCTTGGTGGTTGTGTGCCACAAGGCCCACATTCTAAAATCTACAAAGACACTCTGCCCAGGCCAGTAGGTGGCTGAGAGAGCCTAAGACTCAGGGGGGAAAAAAAGACAGCTTACTTCCAACTGTCCAACTGAAGAATAGTGAGAATAGTGAAGTAGGCCCTTTATCATAACAGTAAAAGTCTCCCAAAGTAAGTGCATTAAACCACAGCTTATGAGATGCACTCCATGTGAGACACCCTCACCCTCCCTAGTAGCTGCAGCACCTCTGAGGGACCCACTCATCTTCATCTCATAAAGCAACGGATGTGCCTGTCTACTACTGTTCTCACATCCACCCCCTGGGGAGGGAGCGTGTTCAGATGTGCAGCTCCCTGGGGTTCCTCCTTCACTCAGAGCCCCACCAGACCAGACAGACACTCCTGGGCTTCGCCACAAGCCCATCTCACCCTCTCAAGAATGAATCAGCCAGGACGCAGAGACCCCTGAACAAGGACAAAGGTGGCCATATGCAAATGAGTGCTAGCCAAAGACAAAACTCCACAACTAGAGACCCTCAAAACCAGCAGGTGGGAATTGGTCCATTGCTCTGCTGTGAGATGGGATGCCTTACTGGCTCCCGTTTTGATTTTCTCCCCTTCCGAATACAAACTGCAGCAATGTACTCTGACAGCTCCAGCTCCAGTCCTGACACATTGTCAGAAAACCATTCCAAAGCCCTGACTAGATAACTAATTTAATACACTTTGCTTCAAGGCTTACTCCTTGGCTGGCTTCCCAGGTAGGAAGCGTCTCTTGGTGATGATTATGCAGATGCCACTGAAAGGGCTGCAAATGCCCGTTGATGATTTTACCCGTGGATCTGTGAGGACTTCCTGGGGATGGGAAAAGGAATTTGGAATGTATTGAAGAACCAGAAGCAGCAGTGTTTAAAGAGGAAATACGTGCCCAGCACACTTAAATATTTTCCTTTGGGTTCCACCATGTGTTGGCTAGGAAGATGGGCATCAAACCTACGTCTTCCCTGTACCTTGTTCTGTTAGCATAGGACAGAAACAGCCCATGAGTGATGAGTTCAAAAGGGCATCCTGTCTCCTCGCTGCGCACGTGAGCATTCTAACACAGCAAGGCTGAGTACCAACATTCTTCATCACATAATGAAACCATAAGTGGGACCAACTGTTAGGACCCTAGAAGGGAAACAACTTCAAAGGAAGTTAAACACTGCCCCAGTGGGCTCTTCCATTCCCCACAAAATATCTGTCAGAATCCAAGACAGTGTGCCAGGTCTACAAGGCTCGCACTCACTTATACCCCTGGATTCATTCTGCACTGAGCAAGGGAGGGTGGAAGCATCCCCCTCCAGATTCTGAACCCACATCAGCATCAGCACTGCCCTGGCCCAGAGGGAAGACAGCTTGACTAATCTTGCAGAGAAGCTCATGGGGAATCTGCTGTCATAAGCATCTACTTTGGGGACAGAAACCACAAAGGCATGTTCTGGTCGGTCTCTTCAGCTCGGGGGGGGGGGGGTGGGAGGGGGAGAACCGAAAATACAACTGTGGAGGAAGACACAACATGCTCAGTTCCACAAACTCACAATTACACTCAGGAAAAAGTAAGATAAGGGAAGGAAACTAGACTTCGTACTGAGGGCAGTTAACACCATCATTGACCAGAGAGTGGGCTGTACAAGGAAAGGTAAGCAGAGGGAGGTTTTGCAAAAGATGCTCTCTGCATTCATCATGAGGGGCAAGCATGGCACACACCTGAAATCCCAGCAGTTACAACACACAGATGGGACCCACCAAGTCCAATGTCAGCCTGGGAGCCCGCCTCAAGACAACAACGAAGAAGCCCTAAGTGGAATCAACTCAGTCCTTGTTAGCCAGAGCCTAGAATCGGGCAGCACGCAGAGAGTCAGGCATGGGTGTGTGCCTGCCTGGCATGTGTGTACCTCCTAGCCAGGGCCCTGCTAGCTACAAAGTGCAGACAGCTCCCAGATGTGAATTTCCTTAACCATTTCCTTTATGATCCTTCTAACAACTTAGTAATGGATAGGAAAATGGAATGTACCCAAACCTCATCCTCTAAGTCCCCATCTGCCACAGTCAACATTATTTAGTTAAGAATCCACACCAAGGCCCTGCCATTTCCACCCTGGCCTATTATATTCTCTCAATCAGGCATGGGGCTGAGCTGTGCAGATGGCCTGGCCCAGGGCCACCAGATGAGGGTGCTGGGAGCATGCAAGACAAAGTAGCACATCCCCAGCTTGTAGTCCCATCACCTTATCAGTCTTCTAGGCCAGAACAAGGGGTGGACAACAGAGCCAGCAGCATCCCTCCTTTACCAAAGACTGCACTGCCACAGTCTTAAAGGCACAGTGCTACCCAGCAGAGCCCACCTTTCACCCCAGCCTCAGGGAGAGAGATCTCTGAGGAGGAGAGCAGTAAAGGAGAGGGAAACAGTATTCCAGCTAGGCACACGAATCCAGTGTTTAAGGGAATACCTGCCAGGACCTTCCAGTTGAGAATGAGTTCTTTCTCTTGCCACTTTTGACTGGGGGCGTTACCAATTCGTCTGCAACTTCACTAGAGATGTGTTCCCTTATGCCTCTGTGCCTGTAACTTACCCTGGGGTCACCACTTTCCCTCCCGGAGGCTTACATGCAGATCAGTCAACATGTGGTTCAAATGAGAAGCACTATATTATTGTGAAAAAAATGCATTATAACAACTCACAAAACTCATTCCAAAGGTGGAAAAATAAATTATCTCATATAAAATAATACAGGATGGTTGTAAGTAACTCTGGGCTCTTGCCCGCTGCCAGCCATCTGCCTCCATCTGGGGAGGCAGATGTTGTCTGGAAGTGGCGCCCCCTGCAGGATGGAGCGGGTCCCTCTTCCTGAAGCTGCATCTGGGAAATCAAATGAGCCTGGAGTTCTGCAGGAACTGGACGAGGACTTGGTAGACGAACTTGTACTGTGCGATAGTCTGGATCATGAACATCCTCTGCTCCCGGAGGAACCTCAGCATCGTGGGCACCTCCACCTTCTGCAAGGGAAAAGAAAGGGGCAAAGCCTGAGACAGGGTGCCTCTCCTAGGCTTCTCCTGCCCTGGGAAGCCTCAGCCTACTGTGCACGATCAGGAAGCAGGTAGAGCTACGGGGCCGACCCCTCCAAGTTGTGAGGCATCAGCTCTATGCCAGGGTTGGAGAACCTGGTCACTGGTGTGATATCATTCGATTGTGTTTGTCTAGGCTTACTCCTGTGGGTGATCTGAGCATGTGGTACTAACACTTCAAAGCGCTCAGAGCAGTGAGCTGTGGCAGATGCCACACACCATACCTCTCTCCCTTCCATCCTTTCCCTTTATATTTAGGTTAAGGCAAAATTTGGGAGACTCATTCTGTAGTGTAGGCTGGCTTCAAACACATGATGACCCTCCTGCCTCAATCGTCTCAAGTTAGCTACTTAAAAAAAATTGTGCATATATTTGTGTGTGTTCTGGGAATCAGGCTCAGGTTGTGAAGTTTGGTGGCAGGCACCTTGACCCACTGAACCATCTCGTTGTCCCAGATATTCCTTGTACACGTGTGGGGTAGATGCATGTGTGTGCACACCAGTGTGAAGGAATACACACACTCAGAGGTGGACATTGAATGCCTTATTCCATTGAGGCTGAGTATCTATCTTATTGAACTGGAGCCTGAGAGCTTGCCATTTTCTTTCCTCCCTCCCTCCTTCCTTCCCTCCCTCCCTCCTTCCTTCCCTCCCTCCCTCCCTCTCTTTCTGTTTTGTGGGAGTTTCTCTGTACAGCCTTGGCTGTCTTGGAACTTGCTCTGAGGACCAGGCCTGCCTCGAGTTCTGGGATTCAAGGTGTGTGCCTCCATTAGGCTGGCTGGTGAGTAAGCCCCAGCAGTTAGGGCCATGTTGCCCCATACGGTGTTCTCATCAGTGTCATGTGTGTCTCATGCCTTTCCTGGCTCACAGTGTGGTCGCCCATATCTAGGATGCTAGGATCTGCTTCACAAGTGTTTATGGCCACTGAGCCACCTCCTCAGCCCTCAAGGTGGCTATTTTCTCTTACTGTAACCACCCCAACCCTGCCATCCCTTCCTGCCTCACTATCACCTCCAGCATCCCCACCATTGGGACACAATTGCCTCCTGCCATATGCAGAGGTGTGGCAGACCCTGTCACTGACTCTCAAAGACCAGCAGAGAAGTTCACAGAGTGGCACCAGCACTGCCGAGCAGCCTGGGAGGGTTGTAACTACCAATCTCTACCTCACAGCTAGCTACCAACCTCACTGCAGGGACACACACACACACACACACACACACACACACACACACACACACACACGCACGCGTACGCACACATACACACAACCCAAGTGCAACTGCTCTGTGTTAAGAATGACATGACAGGGCTGGAGAGATGGCTCGAGAGGTAAGAGTACTTGCCGCTCTGCTCTTCCCGACTCACAAAGTTCCTAGCACCTACATCAGGTGGGTCACAGCCACTTGCGACTACAGCTCCGGAGGCTCAGATTCTTTCCTTCTGGCTTTGCTGGCACTACGCTGACATGCACCCCTCCTCCCCTCACCATCGCCACGTAACTGAAGATAATTATTTCTTAATTAAGCAAAAGGGGGAAAGGATAGGGAAAAGGAAAGCCACTTCAGCGACAAAACATCTAGAGTTACAAGGTAAAATTTAAACTACACTAACAATAGCTTCAGCGGTTAGAAAAGGAGGTTAAGTTTTGATATTTGTCAATATCAAAGGACAACATTAAAGGACAAACTAAACATGGTTGCCCTTCCCCTGATATGGGAAAAGAGTGGGAGGAGCCAGGACTCATGAACACCGGGCAGGGCAGACAGTTTTCCCTGGTGAACAGCAAGCATGGGGAACCGGCAGATAAGACTGGGTATCCCAGTGCTGGGAAAGGAAATGAACAACATGCGTCACCTTGCTATCTCTCAATATCAATGAGAACAGAAGTCCTTTTAGAACTGCCACACACCAGCCAGGAATGTTCTGGCATGCAGCTGGGCAGTGAGGAAGTTCACTATGTTTGGAAACACCACAAGGAAGCCTCAGGAAGCCCATGGGACGGATGCCCTGTTAGCTGGATCCCCCATTCTACACCCATTCTGCACCTGGCTGGGTGAGATGCGTGTAGCATGGTGAGCGATGATGTGATTTCCAGTCACTACTTCACAGAGGGTGTTAATTGGTCTCCAAAGAGCTAAGAGACCAGCCTTTCACAGCTAACAAGATGAGGCAGTATTTAAGGTATTTTCAAATCTCTGAGCCTATTGTACACATATTACCACACTGCTGTATCCATTAAACATAACAAGAGTTCCTAGTTGTGTTATTTGGAAACTGAACAGACCAACAGCTTGGTGGAAACAGTGAGAAGACAGGAAGTGACCTCAGAGAAGCTTGCTTCCTGCCATCACACAGCTGCTTAAGGACACCAGGCACCAGATTTCCACATCTGTGCCTGGCTTTGCATGAGGCAAAGGTGAGGGTGCCCCTTTGTGAACCTTACAAGCAAGGGCTGGGGGGTCCTAGTGTAATGGTTACATGGCAAGACCCAACTAAAAAACACAAACACCCACAACAGGCTAGGTGTATATAGCTCAGTGGTAAAGCACTTGCCTAACATATGCAAAGTCCTGGATTAGATTCCCCAGAACTCCCACAAACACAGAGACTAGCAGAATCCAAAACCACTGCCCCCAGCCCTATGCACAGCTTTATATGAATGAAGGCAGAACTGTTGTTGATGTTTCTCCATACAACTCCGGAATCTCACAGCAGTGTGGGATAACACACCCTGTGTGACTATAGCAAGAAGCAGCCGATGCTGGTGCCCACATTCCCACCCTTTGTGCCACACAACACACTGCCGTGCCAGATGAAGGCAAATGATCCCAAATAAAACCTGGACTGTAAAGAATATAACAACTGTGTTCTACGCAGATGCATCTTCACACAGGACTGGTGACAAAGCACACCCTAGAAATGCAGGACACATCTGAACTACATGTGCCAGAAAAATGTGCCATGGGACATGACCCCTGATAGAACCAATCTGGCTACTTCCAGAAATGAAGGCTGACCGAAGTCAGATTTGCTGGATGTTTCTAGAACACCCCAATCTTCTTCTCCTACACAGGGGAGTGAGACAGGGAAAGCTATAAATACTGGAGTCCTGCTAGAGAACCATGGGTCTGGAAAACTCAGGTCAGCAGACAGCAATCAACCACAAAATAGGCAGGACAGTGGCCCTGGTATAGAACTCCACCAAGGTGGAGCAAGCACTCGGGGAGAAGGCCAGAGGCCTAGGACCATGGCTCAGCTGATAAACTGCTTACCGCACAAGTGTGAGGACAAGAATTAAGTTCCCCCCAAATCATGTGAACAGTAACAACTGTGCATGATGCTCTGCACTTGATTCTAGCGCTGTGGAGGTGGAGACAGGAGGGTCCCAGGCTCTCTGGCCAGCCAGCCTACAGTACTTGAGCTCCAGGCCCACGAGAGATCACAGCTCAAAAAGCAAGGTAGTGGTGCCTGAGGAATGACCACTGAGGTCCAACACTGGCCTCCACACATGCGCACACAGGTCCCTCCCATGAAATAAGTAGATGCGATAAAAAATGGAGAAGAGGAGAACTCACTTCGTTATGCTCCAGGCAGTAGATCATGAGCTCAGACAGAATGACGACACCGGTCCTTCCCACCCCTGCGCTGCAGTGGACCACGATGGGTGGGTGCCTGGTCTTGATGCCTTCCAGCACGCTGTTGGTGTGACGCCTGACCGATTGGATTTCCTCCAAGTAGGCTGCAGGACAGAATGTGAATCTTGTCACCCAAGCGTGTCATGTGACTTTGCAGCCAGGGGATAGGGGAGAGGTGCCAGGACTGAGGGTGAGTCTTTTGTTTTCAGTCATAATAATTTGCAATTCTTATAAGACACTAATCATTTGGTTGGTACGTGCCGTAACGTCCTGGATCCAGAAGAGACCAGCTGGGAGTCAATTATTTCACAGGAGAATTGTTCTTTAAATAGTCCTTTTTTAAAAAAAAATTAAATTCTGTTTTCCCCTCTGCAAATCCCCAAGTCCCCCAAGCAGATGATTCTAGACATTACTTACAGCATTTCATACTATTAACAGGCTGGGATCAGAGCAGCAGCTAAGTCCCCTTGAAATGCCTGCCAGTCAGAGCCTATTCCTGATGGGGAAAGAACAGCCACCTGCCCCATCCCGTTCCCCCTCATCCAACGAGTGAATGGCAACCAAGGCTTGATTTCATTGTCAGATGTAAAAAATGGGCTTCGAGCAACCCACTTGTGAAGTTATGTGAATATTCAAGATGAGCCCCACTTCTGGAGGCAACAAACCTGTGGGCAGAGGGTTCCAGATACGCTCTTACCCCTCTCAGCAGCTGCCCAGTCCAGCAGGGGTATACAAAGGTTTGTTCACAGCCCCAAGTGGGCACAAAATAAAAGCAGCCACATAATCCTTACTCTTTCTCCCCACATCACGTAAAAAGGAAAACAGGATCTTCAGACAATCCAGCAGCCAGTGTTTCCACGGCGCTGTACACAACCACTGAGTCAAGACTCTTACAAGAAAAGCCATTAGGCGATCCACGTACTTTGAAGGGATGCCCAGTATCCCTCAGTAGCTTAAGCCGGCATTCCTTAAACTGGCTGATTTTAAAGATTTGACTACACTTTAGACCATCTCATGGGTCCCACACTCCGGTAGAGCTTTCAATCACCAAACCAATCTACTTGCATTGTTTCCACGGTTTTCTTCTTGTAGACAACTTTAGCCAGTCCACTAGCAGAAGATTCCCCAAACTGGATAAAAAAGAGTGCTGTTAGGAGGGAGGGAAGTTCTTCAGAGGTCACATTCCTCCTGTGCTATTGATAACTGGTCATACGACCTCAGGCAAAACCCTAACCTCTCTGGGGCTTTGGGTCCTTTGCCCCATCATTGTCCTACACTCTGTGTTCACTGGGTTCCTTGAGTTCTGTCCCCAATTTAGTGGTAAATGTCATCCTCTATCAATGCACCAGAATCCAAGAAGTGGTTTTCTAGGTTTGTCCTGAGCCTCCTCAGTCCCTAATGCCAATTCTAAACATCTCAAAAGAAAGCAAGCTCCTGACATTGCCCAACATGTACACAGTGGGTGTGGACTTCTGTGCAGAGTGGGCCTCTGTGGTCACAGTTTGCTCAGTAGTTGTCGGTTTCCTACCCTAAGCCACTGCCTGGCACTCAAGGCACCCACAAATATTCATGAAAAATAGCCATGCCCTGAAAAAAAATACATGCAATGCATTTGCTTGATGTGGGTACTCCATGCAGGGGGAAATCATACAGTTCTTATCCCTTTACGTCTTTCATCTCTGACTTGGTGTGCTGTCAGAGATCATCCATGTTACAGCACATATTACATAGTAATTGATTATGGAGACACCAGAAGTCTAATAAATCAATGCAGAATTAGTTTATCAGTCTTGTGAACTTGCATAAAAGATCAAGCAACACCAGCGACATCTATTACTCTTCCCTGCCCTATGCAGGAGTGGAGAGATCAATACGTGGCTATTGTGGTGCTCCCACTGCTTTAGAGAAGGCATCCCACAGCCCACTCCTCTCCATCTGACAGACTACTGATGGATGCATTCAGCAAAACTCAGTCTGGGAAAAACTTACACAGAAATCCTTGGACGTCCTCTGGGCAGCCATGGTGGGGCCAGTCAGTGTACTGCAAGTGCCACACGGTCCTCTCCTGGCCGGACAGCAGGTGCTT